TGTATTCAGCATTGGTGCGGCCTCACCTTGAGTGCTGTGTGCAGGTCTGGGCCCCACTATTTAAGAAGGGTGTGAAGGTCCTTGAGTGCGTCCAGAGAGCAACAAAGCTGGTGAAAGGGCTGGAAGGAATGTCCTACGAGGGGCGGCTGAGGACTTTGGGCTTGTCTAGTTTGGAGAGAAGGAGGCTGAGGGATGACCTCAGCCCCCCCACTGCTCTCTACAGCTTCCTGAGGAGGGGAAGCGGAGAGGGAGGTGCTGAGCTCTTCTCCCTGGTGGTATCCAGTGACAGGACGCGTGGGAACGGTTCAAAGCTGCACCAGGAGAGGTTTAGACTGGACATTAGGAAGCATGTCTTTACTGAGAGGGTGGTCAAACACTGGGACAGGCTTCCTAGAGAGGTGGTCGATGCCCCAAGCCTGTCAGTGTTTAAGAGGCATTTGGACAATGCCCTTAACAACATGCTTTAACTTCTGCTCAGCCCTGAACTGGTCAAGCAGTGGGACTAGATGGTCGCTGCAGGTCCCTTCCAACTGAAAATATTCTAAAATGACTTAGACTCCCTGTTATACGCCAGACTTCGCAATCAGTGAGCCCACAGGCTGCTCACAGCAGATGAAATGCTCAGAACTGTTATGCATAACTCCCTCTCCCAAGATAAACCTAATCAGTTTTGATCGTTTTAAGATTTCTGCTACACATGAAAGGAAATGCTTTAAAAAAAATTCTAAACTTCCATGTATAGTATCTCAAGAGTTTTTCTTGCAAATGTGAGCAATAGCCTCATGTTCTCACCTGGGACGTAGAAGACCAAGACTCAGTTTGCTCCCTATCAGAGAAAGCCGGGAACTGACTTTCAGTCTCCCGCTTCCTCGGTGGAGGACTCGCCTACGCAACCATTTCCGTAACATTCTGTGTCCAGGTAACGCGAGTTCTCTTTGCACGCTCATTTTGAAATATTACAAAAAAGGTAGCCTTTTTATTTCCAGAAAGGAAAACTGTTTCCCAGCATAGCCAGAACTAGGGCAGATAGGGCGGGGAAGAAGAACAATGCAACTAGAAGATGCAGAAAGGCATCAGTCCGCTGTAAACAAGGATAAATAGAAAACATACGCACTTAATAAGTGTTATTAGCAGTAACGTAATTCAGAATAATACACTTATTCACACAGCAGCTGTTCAGGTCCCTCATGAAACACTTGTTCTAAGACCAATTGAATAAATAAGATTTCGAGTAGGCCTCCGATGTAGTGCATTTGCATATGGAAATGATCCTGGTGAACATGCTCTATAAATCGTTTATGCATACATAAATGGCCAGCCTGAATAGACACTTTTTTTCCCCTTCTCCTTAACTTGGAGAAACTTCATAAAAAATGCGTAAGAAAGGCAAATAAGAGAGACAAGAAAAGGACTTCAGGAGAACAGCATCTCTTTAGTTTGCTCGGAGAAGAAATAAAGCAAGCTTTACAGCGACTTTCAAACTGCTGCGTGCCTGGTCCTCCCCTCAGCATTCCTCCTCGCCCTCTCTCCAGCACGGCGTTTCATTCATGACGGGCAACATGAGCTTCATCAACAACTTCACAGCGGGGAGATACCCCAACACCCTGCCATCCTTTAAAGTGAGCCCTCTCTGCCACCAGCTCCCGGCCCCCCCCTCACGAGCCCCCCCCTGCATCCCCCACTGGGCAGCAGGCCCGGGCCCTGTCATCCCCTCATCGCTCCCGTCCCAGGCAGCGCCTTTCTCCTTCCCCCCTACAACACACGCTGGCCAAAAGAACGAAAAGGGGGTCGGGGTTAGGATTATTTTCTTCCCCCCTCCAAATCAATTAATACCACGTGATTAAAAGAACAAGTGCTTCCAATTTTGATCAAATCAATAGTTTTATTTCCACCTGTTAAAAGAACTGTTTGCCTACCAGCAGAGTCCAACATAGATGGGACAGACAGACAGGAATACAATTAAATACAGGAAAAATTGAACTATATACAACAAGACATACATTTACATAATGAAAAAATCTTTATATTATCTATCACTTCTTGCCAATGCGAAACATCACTGGAATTCAAATATATTGGGG